TTTTATTTGAATTAAAAGAAAATGTGTTAAATAAGAAGCAAATTGGGTTGTCCGACAAAATAGAGGGCGCAATTGTCGAGTCCGACATCTCCAACATGTCGCTCTAGCACGATATGGTTTTCCGATTACAAAACACCCAATTTTCATTTTAACTTACTAAAAATTGACTAAAAAACGTAGTCCATACATTGTCCGACAAATTTTCAGGCGCTTTTTTCCAGTCTGACAACCGAAACATGTCGCTCATCGCAGGTTAGGTTTTCCGATTACAAAATTTCGGACACAAATACCAAGTGCTAAAATAGTACTTTCTTTATCAAAATATGACATTGTCCGACAAAAATAGTGGATCATATTGCTAGTCCGACAAAAAGAAACGATTAATTTCATAAACTTAATAAAACGATTATTGTTACATATAATTAGTTTTAAATGTAATGACAATGAATTGCGACTTGTATTTTTTTTATTAATAATGTCATCATAAAAAATAATTGAAAATGAAATATATAAAAAATTAAATTATTTTAAGAAATATAAGAAAAAGTTAAAAAATAAAACATTTCAAATGAAAAAATAAATAAGTAAAACATTATATGACTAATCAGAATCGTCTCCACTCAAATCATCATCGGATTAACTCGTGCTATCTTCGTCGTCACCGTCAGATGCATCACTTGGATTATCTTGATCTGAAATAATGTTAAAAAAGATTGTATAAAATTGCGAAATTTAATTCATCAAACTATATTACGAACCTAGGGAGGAAAAAAAGGATACGCAGTTGTTATCTAAGACGCAACCGAGGATTATAATAATATTGAAGGTTTTTTTTCTCCCCATAATTTGTATATGATTTTTCATCGCACGTGCGGAAAGTAATTTATTTTCACTTGTAATGAAAAATACGGTACGCAACTTAGCGTAAGAATATACTATTTCTTTATACCCCACGAAGAATGTAGAAAGAAAATCCCACTTTTACGCGGGGTACAAAGGAAAATTTGGGATTGTTTATAAAATTTTTATAGCATACCTATAGATATGTCTTGGAGCCTTGGACTTTCAGGACCGTCGAACCAATAAAAGTTATAGTCGCCATCTATTATTATCCAGCCACATTCTTCTGGGTTTTTTTCGGTTGGCGTTCTTAGGTGGTCATTACACCAAATGCTGCTAATACGAGTATACGTCGTTCTTTTGACGTGCTGCAAAAGCTCTTCACTGCTAGGAGGTAAACTGGATGGGTCGAAAGATTTAATTTTCTTCTTAAGAACTTCCTCCGAAGAACTATTGATTTTATAACTTCTTTCGAACATTTCGATACAAGTGAACTCCTCCATTCGTTAAAAATGTTGCTCTCTATGTCAGTTTGAGATGGTGAAGTTTCAATTAAGTTTAAGAAAGCCTCTTGGAAAGCCACATTCTTCTCTAAAATCTCAAAAGGCTTTTTTTTACCTTTTCTGAAGAAGGAAGGGTTGAAATCATTCATGCCCATGATAAAACGTCTAATTATCGAAATCACAGCGATGCGTACACGTCAAATGCTAGGACACGACTGAGCGCTGGGCTCCAAATCAGGCATTAGATTTTATTAATTTGCGTCGTTTTTTTTGTCGGACAAGTATTGTTTTTTAATTATTATTTTATTCTAAAGGCAAAAATATAAAATTTATCACTTTTGTAATCGGAAAACCTAATCTGCGATGAGCGACACGTTTCGGTTGTTGGACTGGAAAAAAGCGCCTGAAAATTTGTCGGACAAGGTATGGACTACGTTTTTTAGGCAATTTTTAGTAAGTTAAAATGAAAATTGGGTGTTTTGTAATCGGAAAATCATACCGCGCTAGAGCGACAAGTCCGACGACTTGACAATTGCGCCCTCTATTTTGTCGGACAACCCAATTTGCTTCTTATTTAACACATTTTCTTTTAATTGAAATAAAAAATTTGAGTGTTGTAATCGCAAAAGAGAACCCGCCCAAAACGACAGGTTTAAGTACTCGCAGTGCGGAAAAGCGCCCTTCCCATATTCTAAAAATTTTACAACGTGGTAGACTCGTTAAAACGAAGCGATCCAGACCATTTTCATGACTTTTGTAATCAGTTCGAAAAAAGGTCGCTGGCTTGGGGACTATAATTGTTATCAACAAATTAAATGTTTAAATGGCTGTAAAAAGTTTATTTTTATAGCTAGTACAATTTATTCGCTAATAGTTACGTTTTCTCATAACAAACATGTATTTTTTAAAATTAAAAATAAATAACTTTAACCAAAGTTATTGCAAATTTAGTACAAATTTCCTACATTTTCCGTCTCCGCGCGCACTAATTTTACCATATATGGTTCTACTGGACGGATTGAGACGCACGACATCTCATTTTAAAGCTTGAACTTTATTTTACAAGAAAGGTAAGTTCCATTTATTAATTTATTTATTTAATAATGGGTAAAAATTATATGCTCGATATTTTAGTACCAATGCATATTATATTTTCCAGTTAATTTATTCATATGCATGAGAAGAAACTAAATATTCTATAAAAATAATAAACGCTCGATAAATAGAGTGAGTGCCCGATATAAAATTTACATGCTTCTTAAAATAATAATTATTCGATAAACATCATAAACGCTCGATAAAAATAATGAATGCCCGGTATAAAATTTACATGCTTCTTAAAATAATAAATATTCGATAAAAATAATAGATGCTTGTTAAATAAAATAATTTCTACATGCCAAATTCATATTGCATCCTAAATTATTAAATATTCGATAAAAATTATATAGGCTTAATAAATGTAACGAACTGAGCGTCAAATCAAAATCAAATTCAAATGTTTCCTAAATTAAAAAATATTTGTCAAAAAATAATAGAGGCTTGATTAATTTAGGGATCGCTCAGTACCAAACTCAAATGCTTGTTAAATTTATAAATATTCGTTAAAAGATAATAAATGCTCCATAAATGTAGAATCAGCGTTTAATGGAAAACTGATTATACTTACGGTTCAACAAGTTCAAAGCTCATAAACAGTAGAAACTTTTATTTTCATCAAAAATAACAAAAACAGTGAACACAAAATAAACATTTATTCAATATAATATGTAATACAAAACAAACTCCCATAACTCAAAAATAATAACATGTTTTCTGGATTTCTGGTAGCAATCTATTTCAAAAATCAAATAGTCGCAACAAAACTTAAAATGAAAATTGTTAATTTATTGGTATCTATAGGTATTAACAAAACAAAACTTAATTCTAATTCGGAGGAATAAATACTTCAGGCACAAAGAGATCATTGCACAAAGTACATCTGACTCATCCGAGATCGGTGAGATTATCTGAAATAAGAAATGGCATATGTATTTACAGTGAACATAAATCAGGAAAATATTAACTTATGACTCACCTATTGAACTAAAAGAGCTTTTTTAGATTTGGCTGGTCGCCCACGACGTCTCTTCACTCCAATTGGAATGGCTTTTGCTTCAGGAGGTGGTGTGGTAAGTTTTAGCCGTATGGCTAATCCCACAAGGTGTTTACAAATCATCATTTTAAAAAATGCCGGACAATCGCATTCACCATTAATCCAATCATTTTGTTCGTTGGGAATTGTTACTGTCCATACACTAAACATAACAGTCTTATATTCCTCAAAATTATCGAAGTCTAGATTCATGCACTTTTCAAGATCTCCCTGGTTCACCTCAGTCGTATTTTTTGAAGGAACGATGTAAACATTGCCCGATGGTGTCGCTTTAAAAACAATTTTTTTTCTCTGCTTTAGCCCACTGATAAGATTCTGTCCACAAATGTAGGTCAATAACCGGTTTTAAGTGCACTTCTTTTAATTTTGACGAATAGTTTTTAGACCAAGTGGCTACGTACTCCTTCAGTATCACACAGAATCGGGATAGAGGAAGCCGTTCTCTTAGGGTATTTTCATCTTTGATGACTCTGTTAAATGCCTCTAGGGCGTTGTTTGTACTTGGGCTTTTCTTGTGAACCCCTTCATACCAGTTACGATTCATTTGTAGCCATTCACTTTCAAAATAACGTGAAAAGTCTTTTTGCTCAACCCATTTTGAAAGAAACGTGATGGACGCTTTATCGAATATCTCTTGACTTTTACTTAACTGAAGATAATCAATATCTTGCAAGATTTTAGGTATGTTTTCTTTTGGACGCACACATTGATCAGCTTTTTTCCTTACGTTTTTTTTCATATGAGCCCAACACATCTTTATTGTTACGTTTGGTCCAAATACATTTTTGAAACCATTTTGTATACTGTGGGCCGCGTCACATATTAGTATCGATGGATTAATGGTTTCACTCAAAATTTTCTCTGCACCAGTTCTTAGCGCTTTGAATGCAAAAATGAAATCCTCAGTTTGCTCATTGCTACAAACTGCCACTCCAAAAGTGTGAAACGATCACCAATAGCGGGAAACCTTGCCATATAAGCTTATAGGTGGCATCTGCATGAACATGGCAAGCATTCTGTGATTGTCTGATTAAATTTTTCGTTGACATACAAAATCGAAAGGAAGGGGGGTCTTCGTAATTCATTTGGTGCGCTATTATAAAAGCCTCATCTTCATTTTCTGGAACTGAAGAGTGATCGATGCAAAACTGCTGTAACTCCCCAAGACTTATCGAGTTCGAACCAAATTTGGACTTTTTTAAAGAAGCCAAATAATTATTTAACTGTTGCTTTTTTGGAATTGGTAAATTATTCTTTGCCAAAATTTCTAAAATCTTTTTTGGTTCTAGTTTTGAATCGTTTTGGAACAGGTTATTTATTTCCGTTTTAGTATGTTCGTTTATTGTAACGGTTGCTTTGGTAGTTATACTTTCGCAAGTATGAAGCAATTCCGATCGGTATAAAACTATATCATCAGTATTTGCGGAATAATGCAAATATACCCCTGAGGCGCATTGCTCACCTCGATATTTCACTTTATTACAACGATAAATCGCACTAACGTTGCCCTCTGTATCGACATTTTTATGATAAAAGCTCCAAATACCTTCTTCTTTTACTGATTTTTCATCCAAAGCTTTGTTACTGAATACCTGTTCTCTTTTCCACTGCTTATCAACCTTCTTTCTTCTTTTCTTTGGGACAGGCTGATCAAGAACAACATCCGAACTATCCTCTGATGAACTGTATTGAGGAATCTCACTGCCACTCATATTGTTGGTTTTAAAAAGAGTTCGCGTTAATAATAAACCCAACACACTTATTTCCGCACTGCAGATTATAAAAAACAACATGCGGCTTTGTTTTCGGAGGTTATGTACTGTCGGTCAGTAAACACGCATGAGCGAATAATTACAGTATTGCCACGTTTAATAGAGATTACGACTTATCGAGCATTTATATTACTATAAATTGCAAAATTTTATTCAATAGTGAACGTAAATTATCGAGCATTTATATATATTTTTCGTGCACATTTCATTAACATACCGAACAGAATTTATAGTGCAATTTGTATATTTTATATTGCGATTTTATAATAAATATAAGACATTTCTTATTATTTTATACCACATTTTGATTTTTTTATCGAGCATATATAATTTTTTTAATCTGCAAATTGTATTAAATTATCGGGCGTTAATTACGACCCTTTAATAATTAATGGTAGCTTAGAAAGTTGTGAAATTTCAACGAAAATGCCGGTTTTAAATATTTATAAGGTTTTTTTATTATTCAACTCAAAAGTTACCGGATATTGTTCTTTGCATTCTAACAATCAAGCAAGGCATGAAATCATTGTTAGTATGCGAGGAACAATAACCGGTAACTTTTTTGGCTTTTCATAAAAATTGAATAACAAAAAAAGTTTTATAAACCAATAAAGCCAACATTTTCGTTGAAATTCCACAACTTTCTAAGCTGCCATTAATTTTTAAATAAATTAATTAATCAATGGAACTTACCTATCTTGTAAAATAAAGTTTAAGTTTTAAAATGAGATGTGCGTCTCAATCCGTCCAATTGAACCAGAGATATGGTAAAATTGGTGCGCGCAGAGACGGAAAATGTAATATATTTGCACTAAATTTGCAATAACTTTGGTTAAAGTTAATCTTTTTTTAATTTTCAAAAAAATATATGTTTGTTATGAGAAAACGTAATAATTAACAGATAAAAAATTGTACTAGCTATAAAAATAAACTTTTTACAGCCATTTAAACATTCAATTTGTT